GTGCCCGCATCCACAACCAAAAACTCACACGTCAGGACCTAGTACAAAACACCAAAGTAAACCGCCGATTTAACGACTTCACAACTCTTCAAATACACGAAGCAATAAAAATCCTACAGGCAAACTCCCATAATCAACAAACAATCGAACAGGAACAGCACGCACACTGCTACTTCTTGGCGAGAAACCCCCAAGCCACAATACAACACTCCACCAATTAACGCCTTCCACGAGCTAGATACCACCACCTGCTTACCCATTCCTATAAATATCCACCAACAGTAATCACAATTCATACAACATTCAGCCTTGATAATGGATGCAGAATGCATTCGAAATGCGTCGGCCAACTCATCACTAGCTACAACTTTTACCCGTTGTTTTAACAACGTTAAGACAGCTTATCGACTTCTTGAGAAGAATTCTAAGAAGAAAGTAAACCTACAGACATCGGTCTTGTTTAACAAAATCTGCCTACAAGAAAATCTGTCACCAAAGTACACTAAAACTAAACACTAAACTGTCTGACTAACACTACCAACTCAACACTGATTTTCATATTTATAAGGTAGTCTTGTTTCTAGATACTTTGCAGAGTTACAATGTTTTTGTGATATCTAGAATGACTCCCACAACTTTACTTTATCTTGATGTAATGAGCCCGCTATCCATATTAAAACATTAAATGTATAGCCCTCAACAATTCTTTTTACAGTACTTCTATTTTAATCTTATGAATCACTATAAATTCTGCAATAGTCATCCATTACCATCACAAGTTACTTGTCAAATAGTAAACACTGTACACCATTTTTCTAGGATCTGTGTGAATTTATTCTTACTAAATTCATGTTATCTGTCGCACACTGTGATAAGAATTTTGACTAGTTTTTTTTTTTTTACAATTATTTTTAATGAATAGTTAGTTTAGATTTAACCAACAGGATGGTAAATTTGTGGAAGAAACTACAACTTTAGTGGAGTTTAAGAAAAGTATTGCTGAATTTTTAGGGGATTGGAGCTAACTTTCATAATTAGGTTTCTGCTTACTGAGAAAGGATGGTAGTCAAGATTTTGAAAGGTAAATAGGCCTCCTGGTGTCTCATAATCTATAAATTACATTAAGTGTCAAACATTTTAAAGATTTTGTTCATTTCTGTAGGTTACGACACATTCAGTCTTGCCAAACATTTTGTTTCGGCACCACACTGAATATAGAAATATCCAAAATGTCAAGTTTTGTAACACTTAATTTTTCTTTGTTTTGTAAATCAGTTTTATTGTTCAAAAGGTAATAGTTGTGAGCTTGGTTGATTTCACATTTAGCAAGTGACTGTAATTAGCAACTTCTTTAATATAGTGGATATATAGGTCTTGTTCAATACTGGTAGGTCTCTGTATGTTAACTTTAATATTGTTACATACTGATAAATGGAAACAAAGATTTTAAGACATATGATTGGACTTTCAGCCCCCTTTTTTGTATATGCAAATCACAAGAAAAACTTAAAAAGACAACAACATAAGTGTAAACCTTTTTCTCTATTTATGTGCAGTTTTTTTTATGTATCCATTTGGGGTTACTGTTAGTTTTTTTTATTCCATGTTTCATTGAAAAGCCTTTTCACTACTTATTTTCAACTCCTCACATTATGTTGCATTGTATATACGTTTATTTATTTATTTTTGTATTGATGAAATTGTTCTGACAAAGCATTTTAGCTTTGTGCTGGCTATTAATGTTTGAATTTGTTTGCACTGCATCACTGAAAGCATTATTTGTAATAGTTTTATATCTACAAAAGTTATTTTGGTTATT